GTTTAAAGAAGATGAATTTAAACTGCAGAGTATCTCTCTGCCCACAACTGTGAAATTTTATTATCACTTTGCAACTGCAAAACCGTGATTATCAAACTTGATTATTACAATGATAAGAGTTCCTCCCTATTTATAGATTAAGGTTAACTTGTATCTCAAGGTAAAACTTAAACTATAAAAGCCCAAAAATATCTAATCTAATCTTTCTAAATCAAATCAGATTTTTTTAAATCAAATCAAATCTTTCTAAAATAATGAATTACATATTTAACATATATAAAGTCTATATTCTCTAATTATTTTTCTCAACGGTGTCAAAGATTAATTTTGACATCAAATTCTACCCCTTTATTATTATCAATTTAATGACTAGATAAATTCTCTTAAAATACTCATGTGTTAGTTTTAAGCGAATATATCATAAACTTTAAGTTAATAATAATAAATGGGTAGAATTTTGTATCATGACACTTTGGTGTCAATTGATCATATATATATATATATATATATATATATATATATATATATATATATATATATATATATATATATATATATATATATATATATATATATATATATATATATATATATATATATATATATATTTGAATTTGATTCTCTTCAACAATATTCCTATGGTTTTAATTGGAACTCATTAACTCCAATAATTTAGTTTGTATGCATTATACCTTAAACTATGAATAGTATAATTTGGTGAGCAAAGTTGAGCTATTCCACTTATTAAGGTCTAAGCCGCCCAACCACTCATGATGAGTTTCAATAATAATAAAAAATGAAGTTGAAATGGAGCATTATCCTTTCATATATTCTAATGTCTTTTAATGTTGGCCTTATCATTCATAAGTAAAAAGAGAGGAAACTCAATTATCAATTGTCAATTGTATATAATAGTCGATTGACAATCATTGGAGATTATGTACCATGAACATGATAAGGAAACCTGTTCATCTCTCATTGTCATGCTCGAAAATATAATGCCCCATAACCCTATTTATTCTCACATTTATCATCATTATCATCGTCATTTGATTTAAGTATCATTATGTTCTTTTAGTTACCTCAAAAATGACGACACTTTTTTTTTCCTTCTAATGATAATGAGTTTACTTTGATTTTGTTAATAATATTTAAGTTGTATATTGTAATTGTGTTTGATGTGTAGGTTGAGAATAGTTGGTGGAGTTAGATTTGTCAAGTTTGAGTCGAATGCTCTAAAATATTTAAATTTTAAATTTGATAGGTAATACATGTAATTTATCCTAATTTATTTTTAGAATTAAGTCTCATAATTTTAAAAGATTGATTGACCTGTTAATCTATTTAAAAATTTACTTCTCATAAATAAATAATTTGATTAATATTTAAATATATCAATAAATTAAAAATCAATAAAATTAAATATTTATTTGTATTAACTTATTTGAGAATTTATTAAAACAACTATAATATTGATAATGGGTTTTCAATTTATTTTATAATTTTTTTAAAAAATAATTAAGTTTTATTTTTATATTTTAATTCAAATTACAAAATACAATATAATAATAATAGTAAAAATATTTTTTTATTTATTTTGATAGGCTTAAAAAAATTTGTTTACATAAGTAATCTAGTATTTTTAACTAAATAAATTTATAAAAAAAATTAAGTTTTTTATTTAAGAAAATAAATAAAAGTATGAAATGGTCGAGGTCTATATAAACTAGATCGCATGTTTGCATTAACTATTTTCACATTTATATACATAAATTTATTCACTTTTAATTGAAGAAATTTTAGTCACTAATCTATTGTACCAAATAAAAATTATGTTAATGTTATTAATATAATAATTTTTTATTGAAACATTATTTATTTGTTGAGAATATCAATTTATCAAACTTTTTATAGAAACATTAACTAATACTTCAAATATTATTTATCACCACAATTAACTAATTTATCAAATAATGTACCAAATTTATATTATGTAACTTAGTTATAATTTATCAAATAATATGTTTATCAAATAGTTTTAGTCACTAAACTAATTTATCAAATAGAAACTTTTTTATCAAACTTTTTAGAAACATTAACTAAGTTTGATAAATTATGTTAATGACTGATAACTAATACTTCATTAATATTCTAAGATTGAAATTATTTTTGAAACATATAAATATTATAAATAAAACATGTATGATAAAATGGAGCAAGTTATGTGATTAAACTAGCATTTTGTTTGCTGAAATTGCAACAATTTAGTTTTTCAAATTGTGGAATGATAATTTAGACCTCAAATCAAATAATGGCAATCAATTTATCAAACTTTTTTTTTTGTTGAGAATATCAATTTATCAAACTTAATACATCCATCCATAATATTAAAGAATTTATGTTTGTCTTTGATGCAATAATAGACTCTTCAAGACAACATGTACATCTTTTATTAATTTTAATAAGAGTTTTATTTTTTAAAGGTGGACGACTACATTGATTAATCTATTTTGATTTAGAAACTAAGTTCTTATTTACAAATTTAAATAAAAAAATGCTGATTAACGAGAATATTCGATTATTGCATGCTTATCCAAACACTATTTTTCAAACACCCCGAGTTTCTTTTTCCAATGATTACTAGTTTAATTAGTTGTCATTATGCTCATATAATGAATAAAATATGTATAATAATACTTCAACTTTTGAAATGAAGAAAAGAATTAGGGTGGTTAGTTAGGTCCTAGCATATTAATCAAGCATTATCTAACAACTCATGTGGTTTATGGACGGTGCAAGGACAACATAGAATAATAAACCTCCTTTTTACAATCATACTCATTTTAATATTGTAAACTCTTTCATGTATATATAGCATTGCAGATATTTCTTATGCAATGCATCATCAATTAATTTTTGATTGATTAAATAGGTTCAAAAAAACATCTTAGTCTTTGGTTGATTAGTTAGCTCTTCTTTGTTTTCAAGTGAATTGCCAAAATGGTGAAGATAACTCTTGGTACCTTTGATGATTCTTTTAGCATTGCCTCACTTAAGGCCTATCTGTCAGAATTTCATGCCACTTTGATTTTCGTGTTTGCTGGAGTTGGATCAGCCATTGCTTACAGTAAGTAGTAATCAAGTGTGATTAGTTAAATGATTTGACGTAATACATGTACGATAAGTGATCAATCTCGTTTATGTCACGTCAATAACATGCGAGACACATGTGTGTTTTTGTCACAAATGCGTGTAATAAGATTTTGTTTTGTATTATGCAGATGAGGTAACATCAGATGCAGCTTTGGATCCAGCGGGTCTAGTGGCAGTGGCTGTGGCTCATGCATTTGCACTATTTGTTGGTGTCTCCATAGCAGCCAACATCTCAGGTGGACATTTGAACCCTGCTGTCACTTTTGGATTAGCTATTGGAGGCAACATTACCATCCTAACTGGTCTCTTCTATTGGATTGCCCAATTACTTGGTTCAATCCTTGCATCTCTCCTCCTTAGCTTCGTCACCGGAAAGGTATATTAAAAATTAGAATTTTGCCGCTCGTTATAACTTAATTCGTATGCTAATATTATGTTGGATATATGTTTGCAGAGTGTTCCAACTCATGGAGTTGCTGCTGGATTGAACCCTCTTGCAGGATTAGTGTTTGAGGTTATTATTACATTTGGGTTGGTTTACACTGTTTATGCCACAGCAGTTGACCCCAAAAAGGGTTCATTGGGTACCATTGCACCCATTGCTATTGGGTTTGTTGTGGGTGCCAACATCTTGGTGGCCGGTCCATTCAGTGGCGGTTCTATGAACCCAGCTCGCTCATTCGGTCCAGCGGTGGTTAGTGGAAACTTTGCTGATAACTGGATCTACTGGGTTGGACCATTGATAGGAGGAGGCTTGGCTGGGTTGATTTATGGTGACATTTTCATTGGTTCATATGCTCCAGCACCAGCAACTGAAACAACATACGCTTAAAAATGAACTTTTGTTGTTGACTTTGTTCATTGTTTGCATGATGTCTTCGACCTCTTGGGTTTTTTTTTCTTTCAAATTGAAAATTGTAATGTTTATTCTCTATCCACTGCTTGTAATAAGTTTGTAAATTATTAAGGTATGAATGAAGTTTTCTTTGTTTTGATCTGAAATACTGTTACATTCTCAAAACATAACTACAAACTAAAAAGTTATTACTCTGCATTAGTAATCACTAGCTCCTCATGCATAGAAACTTTACATAATAGCTTTACCATAAAAACTACAAGTAATTCTAATAATAGTTAAGAGCAAATACACATGTTAAAATCAAATTAACACATCCCAAATCAATTTTAGATTGCACATTATTTAGTAAAGTACTCCTCTGTTTCAAAATGACTTGTTTTAAATTTTTACACAGAATAATAATTAAATTAAATGACACAATTGAAAAAATTGTAATCATTGCTACGTTAAAAAATAAGAATGACAAACATTTTGAAACAAATTTTATAAAATTGCTACGTTAAAAAATAAGAATGACAAACATTTTGTCGTTTTGAGACGGAGAGAATAAGAGTTTACCACTACGGCAATTCAAAATCAGCTGTGAAGAAATACAATAACAATGCTTACAGAAATAAATGTAACCTTTGCTGGGGAGAAAAATGAACCATATCATAAGGACAATCCAAATAACCTAATCCAGTGAACAGATAAATCTGTAAACAAACATGTGATTAACTATCATTCAACAACAAAATTCTTGTATTCTAGTGATAACGGAAATAGTCAAAAAAGATGCATAATTCCAAAAATATACCATGGGGTTAATAACACTAAACAACAACTTTTCAATGTAAAGAAATCTTCTAAACCCCCATGGATGTTTGGTGCCTAGGATAACAATGCACAGATGTGTCGCAACAAATCAATCCGCATTGAACTTGATAGATGTTTGGTTGCCTCTGATAACATTGCAAAGAAGCACAAATCAATAATTTTTGCAGCAGTGTTAGCCGGAAGCATCATTAATAAAACCTTCCCTGCGACCTTCAAAGCCAGGCCGTAATAGCTTTTTCTCTCTCTTAGCAATCTTCCTCTTTTTCTTATCATTAATCCTCTCAGCTATATTAGCTGACCTTTTCTGTTGCTTCTCTGCCTTCAACTGATCCCTTGATTGAACTCTTTCTTCCCATTTCTCTGCATTTTTCTCGTGTTTCTTCTTCCCCTTCTGTATGCTCTTTTTTATCAGCTTGGGATCATCGTGGACCTTAATTCCTGAAGCTCTATTCATTGCTGCTTTCCATGATTCCTTTTTAGCAATCACTTCACCCTTCTCAGGATCATTCTTCTTCACTTCCTCCAACTTCTTAGCCCTTTCAAGTTCCTTGTGCTTTGAAACTTTTCTCTTCTTCGCCGCCAGCATTTCATCATCCTGAAGTTTAACCTTGCCAAACACAAGCTCCTTTGAAGCCTCTGCAGCATCCTTCTTCACCTTCTCTTCAGTCTCATCAATTACAGGCTTACTTTTCTCAGTCTCATCATCCCTCTTACGCTTCTTACCATCATAATGATATCCTCTCCTAGCATCCCTCTCTTCCCTCTTCTTGGCAGCCTTTTCCGGATCTGCACAGTTACGATTTGACTGAAACCCTTCAAGCTTGCGATGAAGCCTTTGGCGAAGCTCCTCATATGTCACAGACCGATCATCTCCTTCCAGCCCCGACACAGAAGACTTAACCACGTCCTTATCTTCATTACTATCCTTTACCTTTTCTTTTCCCAAACTTTGCTTTAGAAGTTCAAGCGTGCTCGCAGAAGGCTTATCAGGATCCAAACGTTGCCTCCGAGACTTCTTAATATTTTCTTTAGTTTTTTTCTTTGCCTGCGCTTTCTTTTTCTTGTTGAGACCCTGAAACCATGGCTTCTCATCAGCATCAGTTGGCAGATAAAACTTAGCCGGAATGAGCTCAATCAATTTGTCGAAAAAATTAGCGTGCTCATGAATCACAGACTCCAAATCTTGACCAGCATCAAAAACCTCTGCAACAACATCCTTTTGCTCCTTTTGCTTCTTCCTGATCCTCATCACTCCAAAATCTCCCTAAAACAGCATGAGATAGTAAATCATTTTTCTAAAAACTAAAATCTACATAAGCAGAATGATACATATATATCTGATTTTCAGATTTTGTATGATACTACACTAGGTTAAACGAAAAGTTGTAAATCAAACTTTGCAACATCGATGAATTATTTCTTCGTAATAACTAATAATATGTTGGATAAATGCTGAGAAAGTTTACGAGAATCAATTCAATTTGGTCCGAAAAATACATAAACCCTAAGCCAATGTTAAAACATATTAAAACAAAGAAAGTGTCAGATTGTAATTCTGAAACCCTACCTTTGGGAAGAAGAGGCTGAGGAAGTGACGATGACGATAGCGGTGGTTGGACGACGGTGGGTTAGAGTCGATGGCCGGTGTGAGTGGAATGTGAACGGTAGCAAGCTAGGGCTTGCGTGTCTGCGGAATGGTTAATCGATAGTGAAGGAGAGACAAATAGGGCTTCTGTTTATTTCGTAGAACTTGTTTTGCTTTATTATAATTTTGGCCCAATAGATTTAACAATTTAGTACCCGTGGCTTTTTTTTAACAATTTTGCGGGTTGGGTTGAGTCTAATTTGATTTAATTCAATACTTGATTCAGAAAATTTTATCTCATTAGCGTACAATTATACTCATACCCCTACCCTAAAAATTTTTGGACCAAAATACCCTCGTATAAAAAGTTATATCGGAAGACTTTTTGGAAGTCTTTCGGTTCATGTTGTTCATATTTTTTTTTGGTTTGTTCACCGGAAGACTTTTTGAAAGTCTTCCGGTTCATTTTTTTTTTTAATTTTTTATTTTTTTAATATTTAAATTACAAATATATTTATTTTATTTACTTTATTTTAGTTCATTAATATATTTATTCTATTTACTCTATTTATTATGAATTTGTTATATTTATTCTATTTATTTATTTAATAATAATTATTTTATTAATTTGATTTTTTATTAATTTACTATATTTATTTACTTAATAATAATTACTCCATTAATTTAGGATTGTTTTTTTTAATCAATAAAAATAAAAATTGTTAACTAATTTATATATTGATTATGTTTTTTAAAGAAAAAAAATTAACTTTTAAAAGAAAAAAAAATAAAACAATACTAATTTTCTCAACTAAGTTGATAACAATACTAATTTTATTAACTAAATTATTTTCTCTTATCAATATATAAATTAGTTAACAACTTTTATTAAATAATTTTGTAAGTCATATCTATATTTTCACTTATTTGAATGATTTTTTTAATGTAGGTGTCAATAAAGAGATTGAAAATTAAAAACTAAAAAGAAAAGGCATAACTTGATATAAGATAAATGTAGGATGATGGGAATTTCAAAGTTATGAATATAAGTTAGGAAAAAATATTTCTGTATTGTATTTATAAATTTAATTAGAAGACCCATTTATTTTATTTATTTAATTATATTTAATTATATATATATATATATATATATATATATATATATATATATATATATATATATATATATATATATATATATATATATATATATATATATATATATATATATATATATATATATATATATATATATATATATATATATATATATATATATATATATATATTCTTCTAATATTTTTAAAATTTAAGTTATTAAATATTACTTCTTATATTTTTGTTGTTATAAGTTTTTCAAAAGAAATATTTCTTTATTTTACCTTGTCATAGAAATACTCAATATATTTTATTTATTAAAAGGACAAAATCATGTGATATGTCTGAAGAAAAAATGTGTTACTTCAATGATAAATTTATGAAGGCTAAAATACATTTGAAACACATGATTTGAACTATTAATTGTGACATATAAAATTAATTAACAACTTTTATTTTTTATTTTTCTTTTTTTAAAGAACACAATCAATATATAAATTAATTAACAACTTTTATTTTTATTGATTAAAAAAAACAATACCAAATTAGTAGAATAATTATTATTAAGTAAATAAATATAGTAAATTAATAAAAAAAATCAAATTAATAAAATAATTATTATTAAATAAATAAATAGAATAAATATAACAAATTATAGAATAAATAGAGTAAATAGAATAAATATATTAATTAACTAAAATAGAGTAAATAGAATAAATAAAGTAAATAGAATAAATATATTTGTAATTTGAATATTAAAAAAAATTAAAAAAAAAACATGAACCGGAAGACTTTCAAAAAGTCCAAAAAAAATATGAACCGGAAAACGAAAAAAAATGTGAACCAAAAGTCTTCCGGTAAAAAAAATTATAACTTTTTATACGAGGGTATTTTGGTCCAAAAAAATTTAATGTAGGGGTATGAGTATAATTGTAGGGGTATGGGGTAAAATTTCTCTTGATTCAATCAATATTTTTTTGCATTGGATGGAGTGTCCAACCCGTACTTTTAAGACTAAACTTGACCAAATCCAACTCGTTTACCAATAGGTTGTGTTGAGTCGGATTGGATTCGTGGATAATCTACTAAATATAATTTTCAAATTTTAAATAAAATATATCGATTTAATAAACACATTTATATTACAAAATCATTAAAAAGTCATAAACTTTTAATATTCAATGGTATTAAGTATAATTTAAAAGGTAAGATAGATCTCTATTTGAATAAATAAAGTTGATCTCTCAAATTTGATTTAGATTTAGACTTAGACTTTTATAATTAATAAAAACTATAATTATATTTTTTTAAAATATGCATGGTAAGAATTATGCTAGATAATTCATAAATAAAATAAAATAAAATAAAAATAGTGTGTGACATATCAATGGGTTGGGTTCGCGGGTTCGTGGGTTTAAAACTTCAAATTTGTTACTCGAATCAAATACCCATGAATTTGAATGAGTTGGTTCAGGTTGAACCCGTACATGATTGGGTTTGATAAAAATAAGGGTTGAATTGAGTTGGGTGAGTGGGTTCGCAAGTTGGCCAGTACCCATGAACACCCCTAATTTTATCTCATGTTTACCTGGCTTTTTTTAATTTTGTAATTCGTTTTTTTAGTGAAGAGTCGAAACCCAAAGAAAAAGATAACATAACAATCTATTTAGGACTAGAAACTCTAATTCTATAGTTAACAAAAGAAGAGAAATTTGAGTTGGAACTCGCTCATAAAATATCAAATTATGACATAAATCACATCCTATGTCGGCAAGGGCATCTGGACAAGTATTTGACTCACAGTAAGTATGAAAAACTTGCACATTTCAATCCAGTTTGATCAATTTTTGAATTTGTAGTATCAATCACATTGCAATTATACTATCCTGTCCAAAATCCAAATGTTTTAAACAACCACTTTGAAATCTATATGAAGTTCGATAGCTCAAAACTCAACCTCTTTTTCTAATCTTAATTCTTCAAGCACGTCCCAAAGTCCAACAATATACTCCTTTCGGTCTCAAATATAAGCAACAATTTTCTTTCCAATGATCTTAAATATAAGCAAAGATCACCTATAATTATAACATTCAATGTCACTATTTTAAATATATCCCTACTATTTTCATATTTCTATGCTTTTAACGATTTCTAAGATAAAAAGTAGGAGTAAAATTAGAAAGAGAATAAGACTTTAATGCATTAAGACATTTTTCTTCTAGGGAGAACTTTTTTTGTAAAGTTGCTTATATATGAGAACAGAGGGAGTGTTCACTACAAGAACCAAAATATCTTGTGAAGTCTCCGAGTCACTCACCTATACAACCTTTTAAAAGACCACCACATTTAGCTATTAGGTAATTCTTACTAGCTTCATTTGTTTTCAATCTCACCAACTTGAAGAAGGAGAAGTCCACCTTATTTTGTTTAGTCTCTTGAGTCAATCTCGCCAAAAAATACTCATGAACAACTTTAGTAACATGTCGCCACAAAATTTATGTTTAAAAAAATTATTATCATGTTGTTCTTTATTCCTCCACATGCAAAGTATATGGGAAGAGGTTGCCCAACATCCCATTCACGACGGATCTCCATTAATATCAAAATTCAAACGCAAATTAGTATTCACCCAAACTTTAATATTACTAGTGAAAAACCCCTCATATTCAACTAAACATGTTAATCCAAATAAAAGGATTCTTTGAAATGAATAACATTATCAATACTGATTAAAGTTTAAATAATATCTCTTCAGATTATAAAAAAGTTTTATTATATCATACTATTATAAAAAATAAAAAATAAATGGTGTATTTTATTAGATCTATTTTATAATTGTCTCTTATTAAAAAGAACTATCAAATATTCTATTTTTATCAAATATTAATGTAAAACAAATTTACATTTATTGGACATACTTTTTATTTTCTATTAATTCAATTAAAAAATATATATTTAATTAATTTATTAAATTTAAAATTAAGATATTAAAACTAAAAAATCTTTCAATTCATAGAATTGTTCACATATTTTTTAAACATACAAAATCTTTCAATTCATAAAATTATTCTCATTTTTCAAAAACCTAAAAAAATCAATCTCTTCAACTATCTATCTAAAACAATTAAATGACTTTAAGTTTCTTAAAATAACCTTCAGCATTTAAAATATTTACACTTTAAAATACTAAACTCATTTTTACCTATTTAACCCAAATGTTATAGTCATTCCTCTCTCTCTCTCTCTCTCTCTCTCTCTCTCTCTCTCTCTCTCTCTCTCTCTCTCTCTCTCTCTCTCTCTCTCTCTTATGGTCATCCCTACAAGCTTATGGGTGCCACACACTTGTGTACTTTTTGACAAGTACAATAATGCCAACCATGGGTTTCCGATGAACTAACATAGGCCATACCTTCCTCATTACCATTTTCACCACCTTCCCTTAACGATGGTCAACGAAACTTCACACCCATCGGTTAACACAAAAGCCGAAGGTTTTTTGGGTGGAGGAAGCTCTAGATTCTTTCGAACGAGATATGTTAGGCAAGTACTATCTACGAACGTGATAT